AAACGAACGAATGTTTCGTAAAGGTTAAAAACTAAAGGTAAAAAAATACGATTCAATTATCCAGAAAGTGGAGTATATTGTATGGTTAAAAAGTTATTTTGATATCTGCATTTTTAAGTGGCTTTAGTTTCTGCTAGAAAGTTCTAAAAACAGCAGTCCTGGTTAGCCGTCTCTTTAAATTCACTCATTTGTAGTCAATTACAAAATGAGTGCCCGAGGGCGTTACGACACGAATATGGAACAACGTTTCTCCATTTTACAACAAATTTCAGGTTCTATAATATTTGTTTAAATTTGGCTCCAAAATATTGCTTCATGTCGGCCAGTACTTACCCTCTAAGACTAATGAAATGGTTATATCTTCGTGAATTTTCATTCAAAATACTTTTACTTAGTAAAAAGTTACAACTTGAAATTTGTACTTTAAGAATCGTGCTTAAACAATTTAACTACATCACTGTAATCGGCTACCATTTGATCCGCGCACAGTCAGTATCACCACTATTCACGACGCACATTTAAGCTGCGTCTCTGAGTCTGGTTCTTTATTCACCGTTAAGACCTTATATAGATTGATTATTGCAGGCGTGTCAAGCCAGGTCATTGGTCCCGTATATGTTGTTTGTTTTTCCTCAGAGGCTGGTGTTGGTGGTAATCATCCCCTGCTGGAAGGTGAGATCCGGGCCGACCTATTGTCAGTTGGCGAGGTTTTACTCAACCAGTTCCCTCCCACCTGCGAAGCACCGCCACTACAGGGGCAAGCTCTGAGCTCCCAACCGGTCTGCCGGGATGTGTGTACCCGGCATGTGTGTTAAATAGAGATATTTTTTTTCAACCAACATTCTAAAGTTCTTGAAAAAACAAATACAATGATACAAGTATTGTAAATAGTTGAAAGCAATAGCAGAACAGACTGCATGTTATTTTTCATCAGAAGCCATGTGTCTCATCACGGCAGATCCATTTGTATGTTTCGGGATACGTTTCTGGAGCCTGGGCAAATAAAAAACATTTTAATTAATTGATTTGGAGGCGATCGGCTCTCCACTCCATCATTCTGGATGCGCGTCGTAGAAAGAAGGTGCCACCCAGGAGAGTCATTGGTCTCTCAACGTGCGTGTCTCAACGTGCCAGCGCCCAGCGCCGAGCTGTGCCGCGCCGCGCCGCGACGCCCGGATTGCAGCCCGTCGCCAAGGTCCGCGCTCAAGAAATACACCAAGGCCCCCGCATGTCGCAGTCACCATCATTAACGTCTTTGCTGGCGTTGTTGGTGATGCGTCTTTGTAGTTGCTGCCTCTGCCACCACCGCAGCAGCAGCAGCAGCAGCAGTCGTTCTCACTGGTTAAGAGTAGATCTAAGTGAGAAGTGTCAACTCTACAGTCGCAATGTCCACACACTGTAGTATTGATTCGAGTCTTCGTCAGTGGGTGGTTCACATGTTTTTGCTACGGTAATCACAGTCAATGCTGACCTGGATGTCCGTGGTGTCTAAGAGCGTCGACGCAGTGCTTCGGTCCAAAGAGACGGGCGGGTTCTAGTTCCGCTTTGAGCATGGTTGTTTGCCCCTTGTCTCTCATGCATGTGTTGTCGCGGAGAGCCTTGCGTTCTGCTGACCCCAGATCAGAGGAAATATTGCAAGTGTGTTGGTGTCTAGTGTATGGTCGAATACGCGTCCCATCGAAAGGTAAAGTGTAACCGACTGTCGGCTGGATAAAATCCCCTGGAAAAAAGTCACAAACATTTATGGTGGGATGGTCCTGTAGTCTGCATCAACAAATCCAGCCCTCTGCGAGGCCCTGGGAATTCTTAAAAATAGCCAAGATCTCTCTCGAAATAACGATCTAATTTGCTAGTTTTCGACGCGGGCGGGCTCACCCCGAAACGTATGCCATAAAACGCTAGTTTTTCTTGTTTTCTGTAAGATGATAATGCTTGTGAAAATCTTGGAAATTTTCCGTCATCTCTTTAAACGTAAATTGTAGTGAAAATGTTTACATAATATTATAAGTGTCACTTAATGAATAATTGTCTCGCGATTGAAGTCTCTTTTTTTCCTGATGTTTGCTCCCCCCAGTATCCACTCCTGCCATCTCTACGTTCTTGTTATCGGCCCGCGAAGCACATTGCATGCGTGAAAGCGCTCTACAGGCCATTCGCATGCGGCTTTGCATGATGACCCTTTTCACTTTTCCAGTTTGTTGAGACGGTTGACTAACACCATGGTTCCTCAACCGCCTGCTATCTTTCACTTGCAGCCACTTCCACCTCACTTCCACTTCCATGATTTGCCATTGCCTATGGATTTGCTACATCACTGGGTAGCATTTCGGACTTCATCCCCAGCCCCAATATGCATGGATCATGTGCAGAAAACTGTGCTGCGAGTATGACTCACGAGAGTAATTATAGAAATAAAACATAACTTATGATTATGTGAATATATTTAATGATGATAATCGTTCTTTACCTCTAATTAAATTAATGAGTGTTTTCGTAGCCTAAGTCCAAGAATTCATCCACCATTATATTTAAATGACGATATTTTTTGCATGTGCTCAAATGTGCTACACTGGCTAGATCTGTTAGATGTACTATTGAAGAAAACTTAGGAAGATATGGTAATATTCTGTTGTCTTAAGTTAAGATATTTCTCCCAGAAACCAAATTCTGTGCTGTTGAATATCAGTAATAAAAACTATTAATAGTATTGTTAATTGCTATTTATTGAGCTATTTCAGTAAAAAAATTACTACAAAGCAACATTAATTTCTGCTCAAATAAAAACCGAATAATCAGAGATAACGAAAAATACACCGGTATCCATGTGTACATAATTCTAAATATATTCTCACTATCTCCCTTCAATCATAGTCTTTCATACTCATACACGTTGTTTTAATATCCCTATAAAACACTAGAATTTTTTTCTATTTTTTTGTATTCTGAACGTATTGGGCTTTGTCAACCTTAATTTTGGCAATATTTTCAGTATTTTCTTCAGAATTTTTCATACATTTTTTTCATCACTCATGAAGTGTGCAATTATCACTTGTGTTTCTGTGTGATATTGTGTTCTTCTCCAATGATGCGAATATTTTCTTTTTTATTTAACCATTAAATATATATAAATTATTTTTCCTTAGTTGCGTTGAGTTGCTTTTTGCCAAGAGATGTCAAGGTTTTACATAAAAAAACGTTTGAATTGCAAAATCTCCGCTACATACGATACCTTTGAAATTATTTTTGCAAGTTAAGTGAGAGTAGCTTTTTTAATGTTTTCCTCTTTGTTTCGTGTAGAGGAATCAGTCTTGTGCAAAACATCACTCATCTTTCCCCTCTACATTGATTTCCATAACCGAAATGTCTGTATTGCTTTTGTAATTTATTTGTTCAACCCCTTATGTGTAAATCACAAATACGCCCGATTTACTATAATTATAGGCGACAAATATTACACTTGCAAATTTACCATTGATTTGTGTTTGTAATATACAAATTTACTATGGCACACTGTAATGAAATATATGATTTCACGTTCACGAAAGCCACTATATTCTCATTAATAATTTAATTAATTATATATTTGTTAAATTTAACTTACACATTATTATTTTTACGTTCAACACAATTGTCAACTTCAATTTCAAGAGGAGAGTATCTGAACCTTTTGGGCTTCTCATATTAACTCTACTTCTTAATTTTTCCTTTCTGAATTTAGTGCAGAAAGTAATAAGATTTTTTGGGGGACAGTCAGTCCCTCTTCCTGCGAGTGGCGCTTAACGCTGAGGTTTCCTTGAATTAAGAACTACATGTATTTCCAGAATTATTTTTACTTATGAAACGTCCCTTTTGTATATGCCTTTTTATATATGGGTGAACACATAAATAAAAACTATTTAATTCTTCTAATAATTCACAATTACTTAATTCAATACAAGATGGCGCTAATTAAATGAAAGATTGTGCAGATACCACGACAATTATTTTAGAAACGATATCCGTACTTCACTTAAAATCTATTATGAGTTTTTTTTAAGTACTTTCAGGTTAGCCTGAATGCTCCGCATAACCGTTAGCAAACGTCCCGCTTTTTAATAGAGAATTTGCCCAACTACTTCAACCGGAGCAATCATCAACAGCCTCCTTCCCAATAAACCAATCAAATACTTAGGGCTGAACGTGGACACAAAACTCATTTGAAAGCAGCACATAGATACAAAAATCATTCAAGCCAGAGTCAAGCTAATACAATTAAAGCCTTTAATACACAGATTCAGCCCATTATCAAACAATTCAGCTATACAAATATACAAAACAATAATGATACCGTTGCTACTATACGCCTGCCCAATATTGTAAAACGCAGCACCAATCAACCAAAGGAAACTGGAAATAGTACAAAACCAATTTATAAGAATTATTTCAAGCGCTCCCTAGTATGTCAGCAATAATCAGTTACACAAAGAATTCGACCAAGAGACTGACCGTCGTATCACCTACCTAGCTACCAACTTCTTCTCAAACATTCCCCAAATCCCTTCACTATCAGTTCTTTAGACTCGGCAAAAACCCTTCACATAGAACCAGAATACCAAATAAATTTCCCTTTAACATTTTCCTCAAGAAATTCTCCGACCTAGATCCCGAATATAGGAGCCCGATGGGTAAACTCAACCTCTGTTTTAGTTTTAAGTTTTAATTTAAATTAGCTATTAAGCCATCCAACATGTGTATAGTTAATTTAAAATGAACTATGTATTCACCATTTGTGTAAATATTTTTTTTTAAATTTCAGCCGGCTTTGTTATTGCAGATTCCTTTGTTGCGTAATCGCAACCGCCACCGCCATCCCGTTCGCTTCGTCACCAGCGTGGCGTCTGGTCGTGTGTCAGTGGCGTCTGGTCGCCAGCGCCGTTCCTTTGCGCCAATGCCACGCGTCGGCGACCTGCGCGGCGAAGCGGCGCGAAGGGGCGTGCTCCGAGTTAATAACCTTGCGACAGGTGCCTTCGGTGACTCATAGCAAGTTAATGCGCCGGCGCTGTTTTCGGATACGTTGTTACGTGGGTGGGGAATACCTCTTGAACGGAAAGGAATCAGAAAATTGACATACGTATTCAGCACTTATGCAGACAAAACAGAGAATGAGAAATTTATGAAAATAATACTTTCCTATAAGAGACTACTTGTAATGGGTTTTGAGCTCTAGAATATTATACCTTCAATAGATAACGTTTTCTAAAAATTGACTACATCTCAAAACGAACCTGCTTTAAAATAGAATCTCGCGATGTATCTGTTAAAAATACGTGCAAATGGTAGATTCAAAAAAAGTAACAACAGTAAAAAATACAGACAGGATTACAATACGACTTTTTCTAATTCCGAATAAATAGTGTGTTTTGAAGAAAATTGTTAGAAAATTAAAGTTTAAATGTATCTCGTAAAAGAAAGAATTTGTGAAAAGTAAGAAGATAATTATCGCTGTCTTTCAGATATACGAAATGTTTTTATAATAGTTAGTATTTCGAACAAATATACTCGAAGTCTCAAACAAATATTTTAACAACCACATTTCATCTGTTTCCTAAAGGTATAAAGACAGTACTATAAGTGCCTCGTCGTCTTTATTAAAACAGCACAGGTACAATCGATTTCTCGATGTCTCTGCCGAAGAAAAAACCTGCTCTGCCGCCGCGGCGTGCGAGAAGTCCAGTTGGGTCGCGGAACTGAGGAGAGTGTCAGCTGTGGGAGGTGGTTAGCGGAACAAACAGCACGGAGCGGCTGGCCTCAAGAGCAGAGCCAGACGAGAAAGCTGCAGCACCCGTGCGGCCCTCCAGTCCTCGCGCCCGATCGCCCACGCCCGTCACCTTCGCCCGATCGCCCTCGCCCGATCGCCCTCGCCCGATCGCCCTCGCCCGATCGCCCTCGCCCGATCGCCCTCGCCCGATAAGAGGAGGATGGCAATGATTCACTAGCAAATATCACCAACTCTTTGTGCACCACAGGCGTTACGTTGAAGTGATTGAATTGGACTTCGTTATAACATCCACAAATATATGGCATACAGTGTAATCAGAATTCTGTGCCTAATAAATTTCTCTCAAACGTAATTCTGAAAATGTTCATTTTTATAAAATTATAATTTTCGAAGCTTACAAAATTATATTTTACTGCAAAATTACAGGCCATATTTCTTTAGTTTAGAATTGTCTTGCTTCGT